GTGGCAAAATTAACGAGGATACATGCATGCGTGCAATGAACAGTCCTGTGCTTCTGGTAGGCTGTTCCAAGAACCAAACACCAGGGCGCCCGCAATAGGCGCTTACATACTCTGCAGTAGATGTTCGCGCTTTCAGGTTACGAGAGGGGGGTGGGGGGAGGCAGCTTTATCTTTTGTAGCTATGGGCTTGAACTCACTATTGGCAGCAGTGAAAAGATATTGTAGATAGCAGCTGCGAAAACTGATTGATTTGTGGGGTTTAACGTCCCAAAACCACCATATGATTATGAGAGACGCCGTAGTGGAGGGCTCCGGAAATTTTGACCACCTGGGGTTCTTTAACGTGCACCCAAATCTGAGTACACGGGCCTACAACATTTCCGCCTCCATCGGAAATGCAGCCGCCACAGCCGGGATTTGATCCCGCGACCTGCGGGTCAGCAGCCGAGTACCTTAACCACTAGACCACCGTGGCGGGGCCAGCTGCGAAAACTCTAGCGGCATTTGCTTCGAGTACATGAAATCAATTGGTGCACTTTGTGTGATTATCAACAAGGTCATAGTGGCACATAGGGCATGCATAGCTGCCCTAGCATTCTAGCATCAGAAGTCTTATGACTGATCAGTCAACATAAAAGAACTAGAGAAAGCAATTCGCTCTTAAATTTAGGAGCATACAACAAAAACAAATTAGGAGTACCAATCTTAACGTCATTTTTCACACTCCAGTTTCGCTTGTTGGAAACAGCAGCATGGAATAACTGAAGCTTCGCAATCACATTTTTGATTGTCCTTCCGCATGCATGCCAAGCACACAAACCAGTACCGCAGACTCGAACCAGTCAGGGCATAATGTCAAGCAGCAAACGTAACCATGCTGTTGACAAAAAAAAAAAACCCCTGTGGAAGCATTAATAAAACCTGAGTGAGAGATGGCGACGTACTTCACAAATACTGTAAAAGCTTGCGTATAGACAGTTTCGCCTGAGCCTGCCGGTCTCTGTTGTGGTCTCTGCTGCTTCTGTTGATGCAGTATACATAGCTTGCACCTACTTCACTTGACGTCACTGCTTGGAGCCATGGAGGAGGGAAAAACTGAGGAGAGGTCCTATCCCATCCCAATGCATTGCAAGAAGTGTGGTTGAAGTGACGTCAAATTTATGGGGCAAACAAACCGGTATAGGGCAAACAAAGCAGCAGATGCTCTGCGGTGTGCTTTTAGCACTGGTTTGCTTCTGCGCGGACTTATAGACAGTTTCATCAGAGCCTGCCGGTATCTGACAACATTGTGCGTTTACCGAAAAACCAGCCCTGGGAACTTCCGGTTTAGCTTGTTTCTGCGTGGTTTTAGTCTTTTTGCTGGCCGCGTCTGCTTGTGTTCCGATGTATATGCGGATAAAATTATTCCGATGAAGTGCTCGCAACTAAGGCACAGCTGTGTGAACACAGGATGCAGTCTGCAAGTTTGAAATCATTTTATATGCTAGTCAAAACATTGTTTTTCGACCGATGACGTTGGAAAGAGCACCTGCATTCAGCGACCACGCGAGAAAACTGGATTCCTACCAAGAATGCGTAGGTTTGTTCTGCCCACTTCATTAAAGGCAATGTAAAGCTCGGCGCAGACTTGTGGCACAGAGGCGATACTCATGCGTTAGGCTAGTTGAAGGCCCCCAGTTACCAGAAACACATCCGTCGCTGTCGTGTTCCACCCGTGGCAGATGAGTGTACTGACGTCTGACATGGGTAGCAAAACGTGAAAGATAACACTGAAAATCCGTCGCAAAGGTGTTTCTTTTGTAGTTTGAGCGACATCAATGATGTGTACTGTCCAAAGGAACAATGGACACAAAGTAGCCGCGCTCAACATGAATCGCTGCACAGTGAACGTCATGGTGCTTACGTTTCATTGTTTCATTTGACCCATGCATGCAACAGTGGTCAGTCAACTTTGCTTCAACTTGGTGCCCATAACGACGGCCACGATTTTGCTCCCACGAGTTTATGCCATGTCAGCACCGCGCAGGCAGTACTCGGCTGCTTTTAAAAGAAAGTATCGTTGCTGCCGTAACCATAAGCAACTGTGCCACGGAGCTGCAGTTCAGAGTCAACGAGCAAAGTGTTCATGGTTGGGGAAAGCAGAAGGACGCCCTCTTTACTTGCTGCGGCCAGCAAAAAGTTTCCAAAAACTGGAGCCTTTCCTGACGTGGAACGAGAACTCGCAGATTTCGTGCGAGAACAGCGAGCTGCACATCTCGCTGTTAACATCGAACTGCTACAAGCAAAGTCAAGAGAAAGGAAGATCGCCCGAGACAAAGGCATTCAGCCGGAGGATTTCAAAGCGAGCAAGCATTGGGTGTCTCTCTTCATATGCCGCACTGGGTCCTCCCTACGTCGGCGTACGTCGATCTCGCAAAAGATACTAAAGAGCTACAAAGAGAACCTTGTGAAGTTTCAAAACTATGTAATTGCGATGCAAAAGGCTGTCCCCTTTCAGCTGGGCCAAATCGGCAACAAAGATCAAACGCCGGTCTACCTAGATATACCCTCGGCTTTGACGGTGCACCAGAAAGGCTCCAGGCAAGTTATCGTGCAATCGACTGGAACGAAAGAACGCGGGTGACTGTAATTTTGTCCTGCGCTTCAGACCGCCGCAAGCTACCACCTTGCGTGGTGTTCAAACAAAAGATGCTGCCGAAGGGGGAGAAGTTCCCAAAAAATGTCTTGATTCGCTGCCAGGACAAGGGGTGGATGGACGAATCGCTAGTGCTTGACTGGATAAAGTCCCTGTGGTGTTGACGGCTCGGAGCACAGCTGGGGTTTTGTTTGATGCTTGTGCTTGACGGGCTTCGGTGTCACCTGACCAACACCGTAACGCGACTGCTGCACGACTCCCGTACCCAGCTCTTCATCATCCCGGGATGGATGAGATAACAGCTGCAGCGGAAAGTTGTGCCATTTAAGGACCATGCCAAGTGCCTGTACGCAGATCGGATGACGTTCAGAGAACCAGAGGTGATCCCTGCAGGACGGCTGAAACGGGCCTCGCCAGCAATGCTGCGCTCGTGGATAGTCGAGGCTTGGGCCTGCATTCCTGAGGCCCAAGCCTTTAATGCTCTATCTCGGAGTGCTCTATCTCGGATGTGCTTGATGGCACTGAGAATGATGTGCTGTGGGAGAACATTGCCCACAAGGGAATTTCGGAAGAGAGTGCATCTGACGACGATGAATGAAGTGTGTCAATAAATTCATTTTTTGTTTTACTCAAGTTATGTTCATGTGAAAACTTATTTTCTAACGTTTCCTATTCCCAAATTACACCCCGAAATATATGCATGGTTTTACGGTAACTGCGACATGTCTAAGGTGTTAAGAGCGGGCATCGGATTAAGTGAACCTCATCACGTACTCATCATGAGATACTCGCAATATACTTTGCAAAGTCGAGTCTGAAATGTCAGCCTGAGGTTCTCATTTCCCATTCTAAGTAACCATGTCTTTTGTTGCAACTAGTAGCACTTAACGGGCGGTATCATGAACAGCTTTCCATCATCGTTAGACTTGCTTTGACATCAGAAGGCGCAACAGCCACCCATGGCAACCAACAGCAAAATCATTCTTGTGTGAGAAGTATTTTAAAGCAGAACACGCACTGAAGGACAAGTGCACATCAGTAAAACAGATGCTGGCAGTCACGTGCGACAGTAAACAAACGAACACTGCGAGCTACTGAGGCCCCGTCTCAATGCCACAACTTTGCTTTTTTTCGTTGGTTTTTTGTGAAAAAGAGAAAGCGGAGAGCTATCTCGCGTTTGTTAGGCAAGCTAGGATTCCTATGAGTAACTTCTCGTTGGTAGGAGGCAGCGAGTTGCGGAGCGTACCGCTTTGCTTTTCACATGAAGTCTTATTTTTGTTATATTCTTCAGTCGATCTGTGGTGAGGCGCAAAATGTGACACTGCTGGCGCCATCTAGTAGCAAGTCCTGGCAACTTTCAATATTCTCTTCAGCTTCTGGAACGACCAGGACTTGCTGCCGGCGCTGTGCTTCAATGGCGGTAGATACAAACACTTACTTATTCTCTTGTCTCAGCATAGTTCGTTTAACTTATCTATATAAATGTTAGATATTTTGCATGAAACATGCCGTCCAAACAGCAAAACATTTGATCGTTGTAACCAATATGCAGTGGATAACGTATCGTTATATATAGTTTTCCCCCAATAAACCCAATGTATAAAATTAGATCTTCAAGTCAACCCATCGTTATTACTGATATGTATATGGCATCGCTATAAGTGGACTGCACGGTATGGATGTTGTGGAGCACTTGCTCATAACTATTGACCACCTGACAGCCGAGTGGCTGCTTCGGGTGACCATTCAGCTGTGCGGAATGTGAAGGCTTCATGGGCAGAGGTAACGAACGACTGCATGTTTGCGAAACTTTTCGTGAGGCCAACTTCATCAACGTCGGACCTGATCCCAAGCCTGAAGCTTTCGAACAGTAACACTCCAGCAGCAAGTTTGTGGCAGCGCGTCGTCGACTCCGACATGGGAGGGCGGGACATCTGCTGGGATAATTTCATTACGGCCGATGATGATGCCAACACTGCAGAATCGTGCACGGCAAGAGCAATTCACCAGATGATGACGGCGACGAAACTTTGGAGCAAGTGCTCACAAGCTTGTAGATATTGGCTACATTATAGCTATTGGCTAGATTATTAGGTTCAGGCAGCCTGTATAAGCTGAAGGCCTCTGTGAAGAGCATGCTGCTGTTTTAAATAAGCTCACTTTTGCTCTTCGAAACACACGCATTACAGTTTTTTTTTTGCAGGAAAAATTGTGTTTTCATTTGGAACTGTTTAAAAGCTGTGCTGTATTTACTACCAACTTTGGAACACAGAAACTGGATGCCACGTCACACTCAGGTTTGTTATAAGCGGGCTCGACTGTATTTTAATGTAGTAGCTTAAAAAATAAAAAAAGCCACACTTACTTGGGACCACAGCGTTCTTGAATTCATTGGCGATGCATTTTTCAAGTTGAGAGCCAAGCATGGTGGCCAAGCTCTGAGCTAGAATGCTTGATTGTTTGTCAATGCCGGTCTTATGTATTTCACTTAGCCGTATAACGGCAGCTTCCAAAGTACCAACTAACATGTAGATGTCAAAGAAGATAAGGCTCAAATTGCAATATGGTACAGAAAGCCATTAAGTTACTTGACATGCTAAGTTAATTAGCAGAAAGAAAGAAAAAAAAGAAAGAAAGAAAAAGCAATGTCCCCAAAAGGATACGAGAACTGAGGTTTGATCTGGTTTCAGTCGACAAAGCCGATAGCTCTTCATCCCAATACAACTGTGCTTGTTGCAACTTCACAAGCACTGCATGGTGTTCCCGAAATTGAGAACTCAGAGTATTTACTGCCTTTGAAAGTGTGGTAGTTTTCTCTGCAAGGTGGGAGACCAAAAGCTCCAGTTCGGCCACTGCATGGCCAGCACTTTTCTCCTCAACGTGAGGTGTATCATCCATTTTTGCATGCTTGCACCTGCAAAAGTGACACGTTAATTAGCACAAAACTAGACAGAAGTCAATAAAAACCATAAAAAATGTATTGTAAACTAAAGGCAAAAGCTTATATAAATGCTTAACATCACCCCTCAACAATTGCAACCAAAACTTGGGCATTTTTAACGGGGTACTGACACAAAATTTCACGGCAGAGATAGCCAGCAGGATCGGAACATGTGTATATCATTTGTAAAATATCAACAGCAAATATAGCTTGGAAAAAATTTTACAGCTATTTTGAAGTTTGAATTTTGAAGGAATTGACACCATCTAAAGGGACCCCTTGTGGACCACCTTACTTAAACGTCAGCACACTGCACTCAATAAAACAAGTTATGATGATGCCATAGCCGCTTTTTTTTTTTTTTTTTTTTCTGAGTTTGTTCTAGCCGTCTATACTTTCCGGCCGCTGAGTGCAGCGCACGTGTTGAAAGTTTTCTCTGTTTGGCGAAACTGCAGTTCCGTTTCCCATTAGAAAGAAATGCTTGATGTAGATTGTGCAGAAGTGTGTCACAGTTCTGTGTGCTAACATGATGGAGAGCTGCACACGCTAGTTGGCGGTAGTCACATCTAACGGCTTGTCGTTTTTGGAGCTCTAAACTGGAATTGAAGCTTTTCGATAATTAGGGGATTATCTGTGACGTGCTGCAGCTATCGATGTGCCGTGTTATGACTAAGAGGACCCCAGCAGCACTTTGCAGCAAAATAATGTGAAGCCAAAGTTTTTGTGTCAATACCCTTTTCAGACGCTTGGTGACTGCGCAAAAATTCGAGAGAGGCCAATGCTTAAACGAAGTGTAAAAAGTGAAGTGTCCTGCACCTTCAAGGTGCCACTATAGGTACCGCCAAAAAGATGTAAGCAAATGGCAACGAGGTCTAACTTTAAAACTAGCCATATATTTCCTAGTGATTTTGCATCGGAAGTGGCTGTGAATACACGGTGCACATTAAACCATAAACCAGTCTCTTCTAATGTCCCCAGAAGTTTTTACTAAAAATGCACAAATGATGAAGCAAGTCCTTTTGAGTTTAAACATTTCAGATGATTTCATGTGGTTGTGACCTGACAACAATCACAAGAACCTGGCAAAGTAGAAGCCGGTAATAACTGTCGGTGTAGGGGTTAGCTTCTTGCTATCCAAAGAAATCTGAGCAAGGTTACTTCAGACATTTAAAGGCATAGCAATATTTGCTAAGTTTTATTCACAGCATTATCAACATCATATCAATACTACACATCAACTACTTTATAAGAGAGATGCACTGGGCAGCGATTCTTGTCTTTTTTTTAATAAAGTGTCTCATATCATAAGCAGCATACCTCGATGTGGGCAGAGTGGTGGTCTCTCTAATGAAGGGGTTCGACTGCATAACACAACTACAATACTTGCTTGCTGCCTTGACAATTACTTTTTCTGTAGTGGCAGACATCTTCACATGGAGAGATGCTAATAATGGCAGTGATTAAATAAATTATCCTAATTAGTGGAGCAAGGTATATGGGTCAAATGAGCAAGTGGGAGCCCTCCCTTTGAAGATCCTGCTGTAGTTTTTAAACGTAAAAAAAAAAGGGGGGGGGGGAGACGTTTAAGATTTTATCAGTCATAAAATACCAAAATTCAGTTAGCTCACCTTGTCGACAGTTTGCATGTAATACATGCACAGTTCTTCCTCGGTTAAATCGTGATAAAGACAATGCCTCAAGCATGTGACTGCTTCTGGCCCTTTACCAATTTTACCAATACTTTACCAATAAAATGCGTTGGGAAGCCTCCTTTGAATTTTCTTGGTCACAGGATTGCAGTTTGCAAAATTTCGTTCTAAAAAAATATTAGACGCATTGATTCCCATGGGTGTTCTTTTAGATATTCTTTTGTTGTTACAAGCAGTTTATTGCTGTGCAATTTTCTTATTGCAGGTTTCGACAGGAGCATGCATGACACACATACATTAATTTAGGGTACAAAATTGCAATGCAATTGTCGTGGGCAGTGACATAATTCTGGTCACCTGCTAGTTGCACTTTGGATTTGCTTTTACAGCTACATTTGATTGAATTGCACCAATTCACAATAACTACCACAGGTCACTTTTAACAAACTTTAAAGCGATCTGTAGATGAAAAAAAGCTTTTGCATGATATCAGATGTGCATAATATGTTGCACGAACAAGCAGCCACCAATAAACAACTATTGAAAGACAACTACCAGAAGTATGTCACGCCAATTTCTGGTTAAACCCACTTAATTCACATGATGGGTATGAACAACTCTGCAAAGCAACAGATGAGATTAAAAGCTACTTTCGATCTGAGCTACCTTTATTCTGACACTTAAATGTGTGGTGATCTGTTCTCCCAATAAGCCACTGAATTGGACTTACTCAAAGAAAGTCGACAAACACTTTCCGCTGATGTCATGTATGAGAAAGTGACAAAGATGTAAATTAATCATACTACATTTGATTGAATTGCACCATTTCACAATAATTACCACAGGTCACTTTTAACAAACTTTAAAGTGATCTGTAGATGAAAAAAAGCTTTTGCATGATATCAGATGTGCATAATATGCTGCACGAACAAGCAGCCACCAATAAACAACTATTGAAAGACAACTACCAGAAGTATGTCACGCCAATTTCTGGTTAAACCCACTTAATTCACATGATGGGTATGAACAACTCTGCAAAGCAACAGATGAGATTAAAAGCTACTTTCGATCTGAGCTACCTTTATTCTGCCACTTAAATGTGTGGTGATCTGTTCTCCCAATAAGCCACTGAATTGGACTTACTCAAAGAAAGTCGACAAACACTTTCCGCTGATGTCATGTATGAGAAAGTGACAAAGATGTAAATTAATCATACTGATTCACAACTAACACAAAATTCAATTTCTTGGCCTCATTTGTTATTCTGCTTACCATTATCGCAAATCAGTTCACTGCTTTAGCAAGGTAAGCAAGACATATGAAAGACATAAGTGATTTCACAAGCAAGGGAGCTTAAATTAGACCGGCACAATAAACTCTGAATGAAGCCAGAAAGCCTAGAGAAATTGTGACAACTAAAAACATTGCAGTACACAATCAGCGTTATAAGTTTAGAGACCATCAGACAAGAAAAAGGTGAACATTCTTCCTGCTTCGGCAGGCAGTCTATAAAAATGATTTTCGGCCTGTTCTAAAATACATTTACCAACATTTACCATTTAGTTTAATCGAGTACAGTTGCAAACCAATAAGAAGTTTTTTCAAACCTAGCGGTTAACCTTTGATGCATACTGTGCAAAAATTGTTGGCACTTAACTACCAAACTTCATAACAAGAATGTTGACCACAGCTAGATCAAAGCGCTCTATATATTTAAATGCATATCGCTGAGCACACTTAAGTTTTAGGCAAATAAGAAAAAAAGTAATCAGACTGTCTGAGTGAATGGCAGATAAAATTAGGTAGCGAGAACATTTTCAAGAACAAGAGCCCTGTTCTAATGCACTTGTAGAGCAACTTGGTAGTGGCTGTTCAAATTATTCAAAAAATTTAGCATAAGATATTTTTGGACAGAGTTAATTTTAGAAACGATAAAAAGTCCCAATAAAGTTAAGAAAGCTCAGGTTACTGAAATTACTGTAATACTATGAAACAACAGCATATATCATCAACTACTGGTTGGCTAGTCAGTTGTACTATGTCGGACAGTGCTATGCCATTCATTGAAGCGTATGAGCAACATGAAAAAGAAAAAAAAAACATGCCCCACATGATGAAGAGACAGCATACAGTAAAACCTAATTAATTCTGGTCTCAATGGGGCCAATGTGTGCATGAGTGACGAAGTTCAGGAGCAAGTGGAGAAGAGGTCATTTTCACCACATAATCACTTATGTCGGTACGTTAATTTTTGCGAATAGTTCAGCCGTCTACTATGAGCCACGGTGGCTGACACTATGCGAACAGTGCAAGGTTGTTGCTCAGAAACATGGATGCATTCAGCAAATATTTCACAAAAGTATAAAAAACTATTTAAATCTGATTGCACATGATTAAAAGCACTAGGGAATGTTGCACGATTTGTACAGGCAATGAAATGCGAGTTTACTACTACATTTCCCCAGTTTTCAAGGCTCTTGTGTTTCGTGGCTCTTATGTTTATTATTATTTAGTTCTGTCAAAAACATGTGAGTGGTGTTCTGCTCAATATAACAGCACTAGAAGCACCGACCAGAAAATTCTTCCTTTGTTTCATGTTAACGTCATGGAGAGACTAGGGAGGAAAAAAAAAGGATTACCTTATATATTACTGACTGGCTACCAGCAGACCCCGGAAAGAAGCATGCATTTGCAAAATTCTACTTTTCGTGCAACTGTAAATAACAGAAATGACAACGCACACTGCAGTTGTTGTAACAGCATGAAATACTTCAGTATTGTCTGGAGGTTGAGGCCATGCTCCATCCTGCAACCCCTGGCTTTTGAAAGTGGATACAGCAACAATAGAAGGGTCATCAGCTGCGGGTGGAAGTGCAGTAGAGGTCAAGTCTTCAGCTGCAAAGTCATACCCCAAGCCTGGCTCCAACTCTTCGTCCTCATCGTCATCATCCTCATCTGAGCTATTAGTAGCTGGATGGTACAGATGAATACAATATGCAAGAAATAAATAGTTGATATGTTAAACCTTTGATATGCTGTTATGCACGAGCAGCAATTCCATACTTATTATAATTTGAGCCCCTCACCATGTTTCAATTGCATGAAAAACCACAGACTAATAGAACACACAGAGCACAACATAGAGACGTGGCTACACAACAGTTGATATACACGATACATGTTGCGACTAATACATTACCTTCAATTGAGGGTTAGAAACGTTAAAGTATGCTACATAAACATAATTTCACAATGCAGTGATGCCACCGAAGTCTTCTTATTTGGAGCAATTTTTGTAACAGTGAAATTTTCATTTTGGAGCACTTTGTAGCAATAAAGTTTTCCATTTTGGAACACTTTGGAGCAGCAAAATTATTCATTTTGGAGCAATCTAGACCAGCTGACTTCACATCCTGAAGAAGCGAATTGCATTTACATTAGAGGGCATGAATAATTATCTTGGAGCTTTTGTCTTCTGTGAGGAACTAGCAATATTTCCATTCCATTCAAATCGCATGAAGCCAGTCATTGTAAGAGCACTCCCTATTTTAGTTGATGGTGCAAAAACAATGGCATCATTATACTGGCCATTCTAAAACTTGTCCAGTGATTATTTTCCTGGCAAATAAACAGAATACTGGTTGAATAAAACTGTGCTTCATGAAATAACATTCTGTACACCTATGTGGTTATCAGTAGATATGCTAGACAAACGCTGTGACATACAACATTAGAGACACACACACTCGCAACTGCATTTCCTTTATACCACTCGAATGATATAAAGTTCTTTTTCTTCACAACCATACACTGCTGGACTCAACATGGCGTCATTTAGCTAGTCTCATAGAGCTAACCTCCTCCGACACTCATTTCTCTGTGCCGAAACTACACGATTTAACAAACTTTGTTTTCCTTTTGCAGCAATGTTTTATATGGCTACGGCATTCTGTCTATACTCTAAAATCCCTCTGTAGTGTTTTAGAAAGCAATGCATAAACAACAGCCTTACGGGGTACCTTATGCATGCACACGACTAGAAGGCGAGAGACATTCTGTTTTTATTGCAATAGCAATAACAAAGACATTCTCGACCAGTCTCAGCCATCGCCAGGGACATAGGTATTTCTTTAAATTTGTTTTTTTAGGGGGGGAGGGGGAGGGGAGTGAACCTTGATTTGAAGGTAGGACATGCAAATGATAATATTGAACTATGTACATGCTATGGCAAAAATATTTTGGGGGAGGGGAGCATGTTACCAAAATAAAGCAGAGAGGAACGCGCCACCAATCTTCAAAAGGCAGGAAGGAACTAGGAACTCAGGAGGTGAGGAGGAGGGGGAGGGTATGAACCTTGGGTGTGATCCCTGGCACTCGCGCTAATTCCTCAGGCTTTGAAGATGGCTGTTACTTTCTATATTGAACTCTCAATGTGAACAGACTGTTGGTATCACATTCATTGCTAAGAGCCTGAGTGAAACTAACAATTAGTATCTCTTGGACACAACGTCGCATAACTCAGATGAACTGAACTGAACTGAACACTGGCTAAAGGGAAAAGGATCACTGTCAAGGATCACTGTCAAGGATCACTGTCAAAGATCCCTGGACAAGGATCACTGGCTAAAGGGACAAGGTTTTTACACTGCCAGACATCTAAACGCAAAGCAGAGGTTATAGTGGCACAGAAAGTTTATGAGCATGTCTCATTAGGCCTCAAGATGGCGCTCGGGAATGCGCCCTTCATACGATGCAGGTTCTGCCCCCTCTCCCACCCAGAAAAACAAGCAAACAAACAAAAAACGAAGCAATGAATGTGAAGACGCAATGTTTCATTTTTTTAACCGTCGGCTATTGACCTTGGAAAGCGAGGGGCGGACGTGTATCAAGGCGCAGCCGTTTCACCGCAAGCCTTTCGACCCCAGAGCTACCAGCGATAGTCTTTCTATTGAAAGCTGTACGCATTAAAACTGAATTCCGGCTGCTCCAACCAGGAAGAATGCTTTTAATAATGAGATGACATTAAAAAAGCATGTGTACACTTTGAATACGGACCCTAGCAATCCCGAGTTCGAAATGGTAGGGTATTCAAGAGTTTTTACCGCAACAGCGATTACAAATGCGAATGTGCTGGTGGAAGGAATTAAAAAAAAATGAATTTCTGAATGAAGATCCATAAATAAAGTATATTAAAAGAAAAGTGTCAATGCGTTTCTACCGTGCATGTGTTCTTCTGTGGACACAAAGCGCGAACATTAGACTGCAATATCAAGAAGTCCACCAACGAATCCCAGCCAGAGTTTCAGGCACTAATTGGACTAGACGCCACGAGCCCCTGTGGGGAGCGCGTTTCACCGTTCAACGGACTTGTACAGTAGAAAATGCGTCGGCACCATACGTAGCATTAAGGATTACTCAGGATGCGCGAGGGACCCCTGTTACTTCAGCGGCCCTATTACTAACAGCGGTCCCCCCCCCCTTTTTTTTTATCATCATGAACAACATACTTTTTTTTTTAACACCTACGAAGGGGCTGTCAGTGCGTAAGAGGTGCTTAATCTTATGGAAAATGGATTCCTTCACGACTAGTCATGGCAGTTGCAGTTTTTTTAGGTCCCTGTTCCCGAAATTTCTCGAAAGTTTTCAATAAACAAACGAATAACTCTATGCACAAATTTGACATTTCGAAATATTTTCTCTATGCTTATATAAAAACACAAAAATAAATAGGGGTGTGCGAAAATCAAAATTTTTGAATACGAATCGAATATCCAATAATGAAGAGGTGCAAGTTTTTTCCACCAGTAATCTTTTACTCAATCATATATTTATGTTAGAAACAGTACAATTGTAATTATAGTAAGTTATTTCACACATAAATAAAAAAAAAATCTCACCATCTGTACTTGCCAGAAAGTGTAAGACTGTAATACTTGAGTTGTGACTGTGATGTCTTGGGTTAAATCCACATGTAGAACAAACCTTTTGTATCTTTTTTTTTATTACAAAAAAAAAAAAAAGCTTTCGTACTTGCCAAGATGACTAGTGAGCATGAGGCCACTCCTCTGATGGTGTAACAGTTAACACCCGCAAAGTCTAAGCGATTATTAAAGCAGCCTAGGAGGTCACAATTAATCCAGGTTCCCACACTATCAATTTTGGTTTGAAAGCCCACGATTTTATATAGTTTTCTTTAGTTTTCTCCCCTGTTCATAGAGCCAAGCCACTAAGAAAAATAGGAGTACTTGGAGTGTTTTTTAACTACATAGCAATACTCGTTATCTCGCTTGCTTCGGTCGCCTTTCTCGAGAACTGACGCCATATTTCGATTAAGAATGCTGTGTTGCGCTGATAACAGGGCGATCATGACCAAGGCGTACTGGGCACGAAGCGATACCGTGAACCACAACTACTGGCGGCGAGGGCACTATTTTGCCACATCGCAACTCCCTTCGGCGCACTGGCTGCCGATGGCAGTAAACCGACGTTGACAAAAGAGCGAGATCGCAGCAATGGTGTAACAGAGGGTTGATTGCAGGAAACATTGCCACACGAGCGCGATGCCCGATCGACAGATTTTCAAAGGCGCTGTGGGGAAGGCAGCAGAACTCCGCAATTATCCGTCCGTCACCTTCTGTGCACTGTTGTTAGCAACGGAGAACTATATGTGATGACGCCATTGTAACGTTACCGAAAATGCAGGGCCTTTTCTGTGTTTGCCATTGCGCGGAAAAACACTTCAGCTTATTGACACGACTATATCCGCTACCATGAAATCATTCCGGAAATACGAAGAAAGTATACATGCTGAAACAGCGGCACAACTGACGGACAACTCGCCAGGCTGACATGTGCACGTACGTTTGTACGGTGGTTCATTAGCGAAAACTGGCTCACTCCATCAGCGCCGTTCCCTGCAACATATACGCATGCATTTGCCCTTGCGTTGTGGGAATCCAGAGCGCCCTCCTACCTGGCACCTCGTTCCCCAGCTGCCGCGCGCGCACCGACAGCGTAGCCCGGGCGCGTATAAGCACCGGCATCCGCCAAGATGGCTGCCAGGGCGCCTCTTGGTCTGGGCGAGTCAACTGTCGGCTCCTTCCCACGCTGGCATGTTCGGGCCCGCTACGCTGGTGCGCTGCGCGGGCCTACGTCACATCGCAGCGCCATTTACCTTTGGGCTGTGCGTGACATCCTCCTCTCCTACGAGCTATGTAGCGCCCGACGATTCGCTCGTCGCGGCAGGTGCTCCCAGGCCTCCACGAGAGGTTGACGCGCTGCTTAGCAGGCGGGAGTCGTCGCGTCCTAGGCAAGCGTACTTGCCAGGTCTTGCGGAGTACCCTATATGGCCTGCAAGCCCGTGAGTGTTGCACTGTGCTGCATCTTGGTTTAATAAACCCGTTGTTGTTGTTATCCTGCCTCGTGCGTGGTTTCTGCGCCGTGCCGGAGAAATCGACGAACCCGGCCGCAACGTCTTCGCACGCAGTGGCAGTGGAGGACGTCGCATCCCTACACGGTTGCGCTTAGTAGGCAAGCCTTGTGCAAACCTATCCCCACAGCGTAGAGATATTTTTATTGCGATATGAATTATATAGACAGTTTCGGCTGGTTTTTGACAATTTCGGCTGGTTTTTGCCGCCGCCATCATGCACCGTATATGTGTGTGTGTGTGTGTGTGAAAACATAAAAAAAAAAAGCCGCCCACGCTTGGCACCCAACTCAGAGTGATGCGCAAAGGCGTGCTTCATCTACCACGTGTCGGGGTGGTGATGAGGAGGAGGGCGGATTAGATAGTATTCAACTTTATGGCTAGGTGGCGTGAGCTGCTGCCCCATCTAAAAGGCATTGCCAGATACATCCATCCATCAATCCGTCATAGTAACAACTGGGACAATCATAAATTCGCACTCATATCTGTACCTGTGATTATGTTTCGTACGTCGTTTTTGCTTAAACAGCGCATTAAGGGGGCAGACTGGTCTTAGACATTTTTTGTTTATTTCTTCAGTGATCTTGATAAAACTGCACAGGGTTATACAGTTTTTTTCTGCTGATTTCAAATATGTAATTAGTTTTCCTGTAACTCACTTTGTTGCTGAGATAACTTAAGTTCACTCCCTATTGTTTAAGGCCACCATAGAAAAAAAAGTGCTTAACTAAAAGTGATATTTAGGACATGCCAACATAGACTACGACTATAGAGTGAAAGTATGGAAGAGGTTTTGTTTTTAGACCTTTATTGGTTATTTTGCAGCAAAATGAACTATACATTTTCAAAAGCAGTTGGAATTGTGTTACAATTTTGATTAGTAATTAATTAAAAAGGCATGTGCTCTAAATTTTGCTCCCATACTTGCATTCTACACACATACAGGTTTCCACTGCAAATAGAAATATTGCTGTACCTGCCCTAGCTGCAGAGATATTGAGGCCTCAAAATTGAATAGTCACAAATTTACTATTTTGAGAAAAATGGAAAAAACTGAAAACACACAGTTTCTTCAAAAAGCAACGATCATGGTGCGCATGTTTAGCAATCCTCATGAAGGCGCTCATAAATTTGTAGTAGAGCTTTAGAGAAAGGGGCTGGCAAATTATAAAGAAGCCTCAAAGTCGGTTCCCCATTTTTTTTTTGCAGGTTCTGCATGTTAACAGCACCAAGAATCTGGACAGTTAAAATGACATTACAAAAAAATTACTACTTCTTGGTGCGTGAAAATTTGCAGAGAGATAGAAAAATACTTGCAAAAACCAAATATGTCAATTTTAAAAGATGAATATTTTTGTCACTTTTTGGTCCCAAAGAGCAGTCTGCCCCCTTAAGTGTAGAGCTGTGAATGTTGTTATCTCTCGTCTTGTGTGTGTTGTTTTTGTGCATCATTTGTGAGCAGCGCACTGCACGTTTCGACCTGCTAGCCGTTCTCCAGCGTTACATTCCAAGTTATTCGATTGTTGCTATCGCATTCACTCCTTCGCCTTTGCTGCGAAACTGACTTTTTTTTTTCCTTTCGTGCTCGCAGCATAGGACCCAGCAAACGTGTGAGAACTATTATGAGGAGCCAATGCTGAAGCGGCAAGTTGCCTTCATTGCCACGAGCAATATGCACTTGCAGTCCAACGCACAGTGGCACGGCAGCGGACGGCGTGCGCTAAACCACTAAGCTACACGTACTGCCTAGCAGGCAGTACACGATTTAGGTTGACTGAGATGTTTATGGTTGGTAGGTTTGTCGCGATGGCGTGCCGCCACATTGGTCGGTAGCCGTGATCGTGCTCCCGTGAATTTCCATGTATTCATCACAGCACTAATGCCAAAGTCGTAGTAATCACTACGACTTCGACTACTGAGGCTTTTATCACAAACGCGCAAAATCGGAAGTTCTTCTTCACAGAGACATATGCAAACGAAAATTCGTGAACATCGAATAATCAAAATTTTCGAATATGTGGTTATCGAATCGAACACGAATATTACAAATGCAATATTCGACGAATATTCGAAACTTTCGAATATTTCCACACCTTTAAAGTAAACCAACAGCTTTAAAGCACAAAACAGGGCCTTGCAAAATATGCTTATGCAAAAATCCTGATGAACTTACCTCTAATTAGCTTGACATTGAAAATGAGTGTCCGTCATGCTATAACTCAATATAATAATAGCACATAAAATAATTCAATTATGGAGTTATTGTTATATCTGCATAGCAAATCAGATCTGCATGTCAAATTTCATCGATTAAGCTTTGTAAATGGCAAAAATAGTTTTCAATGCCATGTTTTCCATTAATTAGAACATAACACAAGTGCATACCATTAGCAAGCCTCTCTGCAGGCGCCATGATGTCCGCAACTTCCTGACTTGAGGAACTCGCTGTGCTTCCTTGAGATAACTTGCGCTGAGGTGGCTCTGACAGCTCACGAACGGCTTCGGAATGCCCATTCGCTGTAAGAGACATGGCTGCAAATGCTATAATTTCTTCAACCCTTTTCCGCGACAGGTCTACGGCACTGGTTCAATCAATGAGGTTTGACTTAATTACAGTTTAATATATTTATTTTAATAGTAATAAAAGCTATTGTTACTTGTTGCCTAGACACTTGAGAACAATGTACACATAACTGATTCAATTCGATACAGGACCAGAATTTTTTGTCGTAATACTTCTCTTGTATCAGAAAATTTATGCGATATCTAAACAGTGCAACATCCTAGACCCTTCCTTGCAATTTACAGTTATCTAATTGATGTGTTGTAGAATACTCAAAATGAGTTCAGTGAGACAGTCCAAGATGTCACCAACCAGTATTAGTGGATGCAGCTGTCGTACAAGGTGTGAAAGAAGTAGAAATGCTTGAAGGAGACACAAAATCACTTGGCTTGAGCAGGAGTTTCACTGCCGCAAAGGTTGAATCATCATCCCTATCTTCCTTAGATTCATTGCTAGGAGTATCACAATTACCTGAAAGAAGAAACAAATAAAAGTAAAGAAATAAAAAAATATTGAAACATCCATTTGAAAAATGTCACTAGAGCATCAGGTGCTTTAGGAAATTTTACAAAAATAAATAAAGCTGGCACAAAATGAACTGATACATCACAAAATGAAGACAACATGTATCAAAAACTTCACAGAACTTTGTGTTGTTACACAAAAGTGCTTACTCTGGAATATTGAGGTGCCTGAATAGACATAAATGATACAGCGACACAAAAGAAAATGTTTTCAGAGCGAGCTTATTATAATGACACATATTTAGTTTTCAACTTCTAATAAACTTTTATAATGAAACGTGAATATCTAGAATAAAGTGACGTAGGGCAATAGGAGAAATGGTACCCAAAGCCCATGGCTGCCTGCTATTAACTGCCAAGCTATTCCAAAAAAGAGCATTTAATAGGAACAGCGGTTTCTTGTTCGTTTTATTTCTTCTATAATTATTATAACCTTTATGTTTTCTAATAATCTGGCATTTCTTATGGTGCAATAAATTATTAAAAAGGTAAGCAAACTTCAGCAACTGAGAGGGTAGAAAAGCAAAATTTATGGGTTCTGTTACATCAAAGATAATCCAGCTTTTCGTTTGTCACTGACACAATACCCCTGTAGTAAAAAGGAGATCGAGCTTCAAGCAGCTATAGTGTGTATACTAGAGTGTAACATTGATAAACAAAAGAAGCAAGCGAACATAGAACAAACTAGCATAACATTTGATTACTGTTGCCGTATGCACACAGGAAGCACTTCTATGTCCGACACATACTTGAAAAGATTGAGCACAAATGTTTATCCTTGCTAAGTTTGGTAATCACTGCAAGCTACGTCACTGGCCCATATTTATGTAGCTGATATGTTTAAAATGCTTGAAGCACCAGTAAGAAATACATGTCAGTGATGGAAGAGACTTTTTACTTTTTGGAGCAGGCTAGAGGAGAAAAGGTACCACTTTGGAGCAGCCACAAGTGTTTATGGAGAAGAAAAAAAAGGGGGGTTAGTTTCAGAGCAGCTACTGGTATTTTAGGAGCAGATGCGAAATTCGCCAAACAACTCCTGGGAGTTCAAAACATTGCTGAAGCATCTCATAAATACTAATGTCTATTATGAAATATATTTCACAGACAACAATCAATGAAAAAACAAAAAGCTGGTTGGTTATCAAATGTGCCGTGAAATGAGGTATATATTTAAATGACCAGTACTGTGGCACCAATGAGATCAAACCAATAAAGCTGAGCACCACATTTTAGAAGTAACCACAGTCCCATATCTCTGTTGCCAAATACCGTATTTACTCGCGCAATGAACGCACTTTTTTCTAGAAAAATTGGAGCAAAGTTGGGGGTGCATTTATAATGTGGGGCAAATTTTAAGAAAACGTTTCCTGCCCGAGCTGAAAAAAGTAATGCAAAAATGAAAAGTTAGGTCGCTGAGCTCCTCTGTTGCACTTCACTCATTTTCGGTTATCGTAACTAGAGTGAGAGGTGGCGCGAGCGACAGTGCGATGGCACAAAGAAAGCTCTCCCTTGCTTCATGAAACAGAGGCGGACACCCTGCGGCGCTGCTGCAGACGGTTCAATGCGCCCTGCGCTCGCTCACGTGCTTTCTTTCGTGTTGTGCCACCCATCGCCGTGTGTCTTTTGCGTGTTCTTCGCTGTTTGTCCGTGCAAGTCTTCGTGCTTTACTGCTAGCAGTATAGACTACGGCAAAAAGAAGAATAAAATGACGCAGACACACTGCTTCGCACCTGGCTGTTCGTCCGGGTACGACTCATCGAGATCTGGAAAACGAGTGTCGTTTTCCATGCCGAAAGAACCTGAACCTTTAAAAGCACGGTAGCATTCTCGACGCAATCTCGAGAATTTACTAGCTGTATTTTGGTAAGCAAAATTTTGTGTGATCAATTCTGGACACTGCAGTCAAGGGCGAGACAGTGAATATTCCTCCCGATTGACCTCTGGTGACTAGCGATGCGATATCTACGGTGTTCGCTAACCTCCCCCAGTATTTGTCGAAGAGGGAAAACTTCTACGAGAAAAAGATGGGTCCTCAATCAAGCAGTCGACAGCGGAGGCCTTTTATGCCCATCAGAGAAAGTGAATGCGCTCGTGGCAACACTTGATAACACATTTACATGCTGCTGTAGTTTAAAGCAGATGAACAGTGATAGCCTTATTCAGTTAGCGTTATTCCTTCAGCTCGCAAAGCTGACGCTTGTTGGCTGCATACCTAGGGTTACACAATTTTCACCAACAAGATAATATATAGGCTTTATTTCCTAATGAAAAGACAGCATTCTTTACAAAGTGAAAAACAGATGAGAATGAAATTGTTGAAATTCAGACATGTATTGTAAAAAAGTGTAGCGTTTATATTCTGAATTTCTTACTGCACAAAAATCTTGCATCAGTTTCACAGCATGATGGTTGTGTTTGTAGATTTTAGTGGTACCCTGTAAAATGACTGATCTGGGTTTCGACGTGATCTGCTTCGCATGGATCATTCCGGCATCCAAATAAATCTAATCAGCACTTGGTTTTTTCTTCTTTCCCAAAATGCATCACATTATCTACATTTCTATTCTGTAACTAATACACTATTTAAGGTAACGTTACTGTGATATGCCATAAAACTGCACTGATACTTTCATTTTATAGTATGTTTTGTTTGCAACATATCTTGATATGCTGTTTTTTATTTTTTATTTGTGTATGTAAAATGCATTTTTGCACTTCTTTTTGACTTCAAGCATGTTTCTAGATTTAAATATGTTCTTGTAAATTAGTCTTGTGGGCGAAATAAATATTTATCATTGAAGTCCGCGTGTAGCGAATAAAAGTGTCGTGTTGATACGAACAGCGACAGTATATTTTTACACCTTAGCCCAGCCATATTTTTAGCAAATGTAGGTGCTATGAACTTCAGCTGCACATCGCACACTAGGACGACAGTCTACTGATTTCAAAAAGCGATCCCGCTTAGCCAAAAGGGATTGCAGTGAAATAAAGTGTTATAACATTACAGAGACGTACCAAAACTAAGTATCGGATACTTGCACCGCATGAGCATATATCCTCAAGTTCAGATGTACGTGCCGATACTAAAACGAGCAACCAATAATAAAATGAGCGTCGTGTCCGCAGTAGATGAAAAGCCACGACCACCGCGGCAAACAGGCATCTTACTGCTAGCTGCAATACCGCCGCTACGTATCATGAAACAGCGCATCGCCTTTTGCACCGCCCTCTCGTCACCTCCCCCTCCAGCCACCATACTTCTGAGTTTTTATTTCAGGTATGCATACACAAAATACATGGCTGGGGAGGAGGAAAAAAGAAAAACCACACAGTCGTGGCTTGACGTTGCTCTCTTACCCCGGATACGTCGAAACTGTATGTCGGAACTGCAGTATGCACGAAAACAGAAATAGCACAAGCCAATGTGCAGCATAATAATAAACAAGAACTCAAAAGCACAAAAACTAGGTGCACAAAAAGATGGGCAATACTACAAAAACATATCTCCAGATATATTGAAATAAGGTTACGTACACAAAATATAAGTCAAGTGGTGGGAAAATGCACACATTAACGAAATAACTTTCGAAGAGAGTTGGCTCAAGGCGCTGTCTTCTGCGAGCTGTTGCCACACCGCCCGTGCATGCCATAAAAGCGTTTCGCTGCTATATTTTCTTGCAATAATTTACTGCAAACGTTTAACGCAACAGAGGTATCTGCTGTGACCTCGAGAGGCCCCCCAGAAACGTGCGCTATGACACCCCAAAGCACTTTGCCAACTTCGTGGTAACCTCCCCTGAGGACCGCGCCGCCGTCGTTGACATTATAGCAAGCAACCAAAACTGTAGCAAGCTACCACTGAAGCATTTAAACCAACCAAAATGATTTAAAACGAAACGTCAGAATACGGCGGCCATCTCGCTTGCAACCGAAGGGAGAATTGGGGACCATGTTGCAGAAATCGTCACGATTTTTTTTGGGCGACAAGCGATTTATTTCTGGTTTTCCACAAGCCTGCGACGCGATGATGACGAGTGGCTCTTCCAACAGCCATAGCGACAGCGAATCCTATCGTCGTCGCTCGAAAATAGTCTGCATGTGGTTGGGCCTTAAAAGTTTCATATTTGCAGGAAGCGATCGTCGGTTGGCGCAGAAAATTTTGTGACCTTCGCTCGCAGTGTGCTTGTCAGCTGCGATGTCTCTATACTTGCATCGTTTGTGAAACCCGCTGTGGCGCACAGATATTTAAAAAAGACTGGGTACATGCCGCAAACAGATAGAAAGAAAAACTATTCGGCATGCAGGCGAAGGGGGTGAGTGAGCGGAGGTGGCTGAGGGGAGTCGGATTGATTGATTGATATGTGGGGTTTAACGTCCCAAAACCACTATATGATTATGAGAGACGCCGTAGTGGAGGGCTCCGGAAATTTAGACCACCTGGGGTTCTTTAACGTGCACCCAAATCTGAGCACACGGGCCTACAACATTTCCGCCTCCATCGGAAATGCAGCCGCCGCAGCCGGGATTCGAACCCGCGCCCTGCGGGTCAGCAGCCGAGTACCTTAGCCACTAGACCACCGCGGCGGGGCGAGGGGAGTCGGCATAATAATAAAGAGAAGAGATCCAACTGGCAAGGAGGCACCAGGTGTTGGTAAGTGGGACTGCAGCGGACGAGTGTAAGGGCTGCGTTTATTATACGAGGAAAAGAAAAATCCAAACTTTGACAACTGAAGTTGGGGGTATATTTATTATGAGAGTCCGTTAATTGCACGAGTAAATATGGTAAGTAGCAGATAATTGAACCAGAAACCTGGAGGCTTAAATTCAGAATGATTCAGTGAGCAATGGAAAGGAAAATTTTAGGTGTAACGTTAACAGACAGGATAAGAGCAGAGTGGGTCAGGAACAAATAGGGGTTAAGGATATCATAGCTGAAATCGCGAAAGGTACATGGGGCGGGCATGTAGCGCGTAGTTCGATAACCATTGGCCATTAAGAGTACCTGACTGGTTTTCAAGATTAGGCAAACATATGAAAGGGAGGAAGAAAATCAGGTGAACAGATGAGATTAACAAGTTTACAGATAAAGCATGGCAGCAGAAAATACAGGACCAGGTAGATAGGTGGAACATGGGAGAGGCCTTTGCCCTGCAGTGGGCATAGCCCTGCGGATGATGACGAATAAAAGCTATTTCGCTCATCAAATTTTGCCAAAACAGTCTGCATGTTCAGCTGGAAAAAACAAACAAAAAGAACTTTGTGAATTACATTAAGTCAGAGCTGATCATGCTGCACTTTCCTAGCATACTAGAATGACAGTATACAGATTTGTTTTGGCGTCATTACGGCTTAAGATTTGACGTACAGTTTCGTTTTTCTCATTCTTTCAGTGCCATTTCGGAGCAGGTTTCGGGCAATCAATAACAAAAAAAAAAAAAAAAGTTTTGTGCAGCATAGAGCAACACTTTTCTTTTGAAGCATTTTCGAGAAATCGGAGCAGCACTTCGATCACTGACATTGTGCCCCATTAACCTGCATAGAATGTAGAGGCTCGTGTTGGTTTGATTACTGAGCACAAATGAACCCCCTTCCCTGTCTATTCCAAAATGCTCACCCTATGGAAAGTTACGGAAAGAACTATGCATGGATCTCACATTTACAGCAGAAAAAGAATTCAGCAATGCAACTTCTTCCCCTGAAAGACAACTCCTTTGTGGAGACAATGCCTAGAGGCTGAACTTCTTTTCTATTCAGTAACAAATATTCAAAAGATCCTGACACCTCACATTTAACATGTCTTTTAAGAATTTGAACTGTTTGTACCTGTAACATTCAATTTAAACCAATACTGCATAATTTGCATACCTCTGCAACTAATCCAGTAAACCAAAAAACACTTCAACTAGAAAAAAATAACTTACGCCCAATTTTCCCAGCTCTTTCATCATCGTCGGCATCAGCACTAATATCAGACAAGTGGTCTGTACAGCCAGGCACTAAAGTAATGTAAGAAGAAACATGGTCTAAACAACTCAGCAAATCACAAATCATTTCAACCACAATACAGACCGAGATACAGTACAATCTTGATGATATGAATTCAAAGGGAGCATGCAAAATATTCGGATAATCCCGAATTCATATGAACCAAAAACCAGTTAAAGCTGATTATGAAGATAAACGGGAACTTTATTAGCGTCAACTACTTGCCCAAAAAATAGTCAATGATCTTCTTTTGAACTTTCCTGCTTTCCCCACCTCTCAGTAAATGGCCGGGGTTTCCTCACTCATGCTGCTGGTGCTTAAAGCGTGTATACACTTGGCATCAAAGGGAGAAAAAACGGCATAACTCATTAGAAATTCACTCACGTCGCCGCTTAAGGGGCCAGAAAAACGTCCGTGCCAGCTGAAAATTGTTGACATTCGTTCTGCCTACCACCACCACATTCGCAGAATTTATTCGGTTTTGCCCATTTCCTGAGCATTAAAATTCGTACCGAATCCTCGTTATGCATGCAAAGCTCTCAAAAGAAACAGTTTACACTGGTACAAACGTTGTTTCGGGAGATACACCAGCAGAAATGACATGAGCGAACGCAATGGCGGCGACGGATTCAGCCAGCAGTACAAAAACGAGCGAGACACATTAGGGCATGCCGACTCGCTGCTGATGCACGTTTTTCTACTTCCAGTGTTTGCAGCTATCGTAACCCAAACGAGGCTCTTCATGAACACGTCTTTGTCAAGTCCCTGAGCTTTGTCATGCTGCGTGGGTAGATCGCAATTGCACCGACGCAAGCTACCGCCGATGCATTTGCCACCATGTTGAATTTGCGGCTCGTTTACATCATGTGGTTTGAGACCTAGTGCTGCCAGCGTAGTTCAAGCCGTGACGCAGATAGGTGATCTGCTATCGCGTGGCCGAAAAATGGGTCTTAGGAGGATTTTTTCGCGCCAGCCTTGCGGCGTGGTTTTTTGGCCAAAATTCTGGTGGTGAAGCGGGGTAAATCCCTTCGAGGCACGGTGTGAACGAACCTCCCCCCCCCCACAGCCAAGCCACGTTTTGCCAAACCTGTGCAGCAGTCAATCGCGTGTTCGCATCATCCGCTGTGGCCAGAGAACCAGTTCGTATAAGACTAATTCATGGCATATTTTGTATAATGTAGTGCATACGAAGGAAAGTTTGAAACCACCGCGAAATTCGCATCAACTGTAATTGTATCATCGGACTCGACTGAAAATAACATTGGATTTTTCTGAAACACGCTGCATGGCTCAGGGAAACTTTACTCTATATGCTGCAAGAATAGGCAGAAATGGTTGGCAATGTCATAGTATAGTTGAAAATAATTTGTTTAAGGACAGCTGTTTTAGGAATGCTATGCATTATACCAGCTTTCGCTCCCATGATAAGGTGAATGAAGTAACAAAGTAACAAACACATACATCATACGTGGAACGTCGATTATGCCCCCCTTGCCCGTTTCGTGACAACCCACATTTTATGACGAATTAAGTCTCGGCAAAATCCCCATAGAAGTAATGTAATAAAAATCTTGGTTATATGACGCAGTTTTACACTGAACCCTCATCTTCCGACATATTTTCAGAAGTCATAAAAAAAATTTGTCTCGTATCTGCATGTTAATCTGCAGATGTCGTCTAAATATGATAGTCTTGCGTGTGAAGAGAGTGAACAAAACATTTATTTGATGTTCTGCACAAGCAAATTTATGAATGGTATTCTGGAGGTACTGCGTTAGAGTGCCTCGAGCGTGCAGCGGAGGCGAGCGTGCGCATCAAGTCGCATCACATGTGAGACATGGGTGCCATCTGGCCATTTTCTTGGAAAATGAAGCGCATGGCTCTGAGACGGGTGTGCGCACCCGTCTCAGAAGTGATAAGGTGTAGAACGCAAGGTGACGAAAGGTGCCAACACCATCTCGTCTTAGCAAAGCGTTGGAAATACTCGCCTTTTCGTCCAAGCGTTGCATGGTCAGCGCAGCGTGCTAAGCGCTACGGTCCTTAAAATTACTTAAGTATGCCTTTTCTAGTAAAAGGCGCACATGCAGAATATATACGCGTTGTTGTGGTGCCCCAGACATGCACAATAATTGCTTTTTAATTGACAATCGCACAAGTATGAACACCAAACCTTGAGCAACATTGGTGGGTGCTGTGGATAGGGTCGATCGTTTCAAGTAAGTACCCAGTGCCGTTAAAAGTGGACAGACAGACAAATGCACAGACAAATGCACAGACAGACAGACAGAGCGAAATTTTTGCGTCGAAGGTCCCTAAGAAAGACTATCATCTTTAAAAAAACATCTTTGCTTGAATAAAATGTCGTCCACATATTCACGAGTGCAAAATATGAACTTGCGTTCCCCTAGATTGACGAATAGAAAAGTGGAGACAGGATGAGTTCTTAGAATGAAAAATTTATTCTCCTTGAAGTTCACGCGCTTCTACATATGCCACAATCGAGTGCATATGTACCAAGAATCATTACCTAGTCAAACTCTATCCACACAGAGTAGCTTCAGGCGGCACAAGCTGATATTTTCACATTTTTTTTTTGGTCCGCAAAAACTTTTTCTGGTCGACATACAGCTCATCTCCTGCCTTTGTCACACTGACAGTCACAGGCTTGCGCATGCATAAGGGTGGGACGCAGCTGTTTTCACCGTGCAAAACTACTTTTACTTAACATCAAAGTTCATAATAACAGCAGGACATCACCTGTTGCACTTCACAAGCCAACAAATTTCAACGTGCACAGCTCAGTCGCACATGAAGGCATTCTACACAAACTCGTGCTCCATCGCCATTATGTGATAGCGAACTTCATCAATTTACTAAGTCCCGGATCACTCGCAGGCAACCCACGGACGCCTCGGCTCAAAGGCGGCTACGTCAAACGCAAGTGATCTAAAAGTCCCGAGCCAGCCCGAACGGCTTCTGGCCATCAGCGTGCTTGATGCTGGATGCATCAGCTGTGGCATCTGCTATGCCCGGCTTTGTCGTCTGCTCCCTCCTTCCATAGCTGTGACACAGGCCACAACGCCGACCCAATTTCAACCTAAACAGCAGTTAGGCAGTGAATTATACCTATTTCTGTTGTGATGCAACTTACTGTATGAACGACTCGAGCGCGTGCGCATCGTAGACTGGCGCGGCTGTTCTACAGCTGTTTTTCCGACTTTTGGGAATATGCACTCCTCAACGTGGCTCAGAACACCGATGACAAGAACTGGGTGCACAAACAATGCGAAATCCAGAAACATGCGAGAAGCGGACAGAAAAGCAAAGAGAAAGCAAAAGCACCTCAAAAATTTCTGTGTCTAACTTGAGATGGCCGCACTGGCATGCGCCCTACATTGTCGGCTGCCAGCTGCCCGAAAGAAATAGTTCGGATGGTCCCGGGCCGCCTGCAGGCTGCCAGGCACGCGAAAAAACGAACATGCATCTGAGCGATCTCGGACCAGCAGGCAGAGCTTCCAGTTGGTCCCCTAGAAAAACGAATGCGACACCGGAGTCCGAACCGTACAGAGCCATCCAGGACGTGTAAATCGATGAAGCTCAGTAATGACACTGTGTCCGACTCTTTTGACAGGAGGCTGTTGGCAATGTAGTTTTGGTTTCGTTTTTATGCGCAGGCGATTTACGGACTGTGTTTATCGGTAGAAAGATACGGGTTGGTTTCGATTATTGTGAAGTTCAGAATAAAAATTCACATGCAACTCCTTCAAGTTATGCTGCCATTATCTGCCAATGGCAAGAATAATCTACCTTACTTTCAGATGCACAAGGTCGTGCCTTGGGCTTATTCAGGCGGCCTGTACTTTTAGGGAAGCGGGGGGGGGGGGGGGGGGGGGGGGGGGAGTTTCAATGCCTATATTCTTAGTTTTTCGATAATACAATGCCTGGATTATAGGACGGTATTGCGTGGTCCCCTGAAAATCGTATAATCAGAGTTCCACTGTACGCCACTGGAAAATGGGTAAGCATAAAGACAAAATCATGCCCACTTACCTACAGAGTGTTGCGATAGTGTGCTAAGAGAAACTGCAGATGAGAGATTGCCAAAAATAGCCTTAGTAGGATATATAATATGGCAGGCTTGAATTGACCTGAAAAATAAATAAATCAATAAAAAAGGAGGGCAACAACAAAACCACATATTAAATATTCAAAGCACTAACATAGGTCAACAGTAAAAGCTCACAACAGAAAGAATAGAGTGCCATATTAATGTCAATTGTTTTTATTCAAATAACAATTACATTTAAATCTCGATATAACAAATCTAAGAGACCTCTTAAAATCATTCGTTATTTTGAAAAGTTATTGTAGTGAAAGTATTAAAAATTTAAAAATGCAAACATGTAATATCTGTGAAGTGTATACATTTGCAACTACGTTTTGCTCTAATAAAGTGCGAAAAAACAAACACGAAATATTACTGACCCAGTGCCCATTTATTTGAGAAATAGCCCAATCAATATCGATGTGGGCAGCTGGAATGCTTAGGCGTATGCATCCTTCTCACGCACTACAAAGCGTTAACTACCGATTCTTCACGTTGGCTCGCAAGCGCTGTTTCCATGTCGTCTTCACACTCGTCGCCGTTTCTTTATCACGACAAATGGTATAGATCATATAGGTCGTTGGCTATGCTCATGTGCATGCTTCGTTGTCGAAGTGTGTATAGTGCTCGAGCGTTAGCGAAGCACACATGAGCGGCGACTTCATCCCACAGGCAACTCGCGTCGCACTTTCTAATGGTCGTAGCATTCCTTTCATGCTGCTTTCAGAGCTCATCTTGAATGTTCACCACCTACCAAACGGCTAGAACACAGCCTCGTAACAAGCACGCAGGTTAAGCTGCAAACGAAAACAAAGGCAACAGGGTGAAGTCTGATGAGAAAAACAAGTAACAGGCGATGATGATTCCGATGGGGCTATCACACATTTGGATACAGTTGGCAAATAAATAAATACGCAGGTGGCATTCTGATGATGATGATAGTAGAAAGTTCTGAGCTTGGCATTACTTTTACCGCCGCGAGTAACTTTTTACAATCACGTGATGCCACGGCATACTTCAATAATGGCAGTGTAAGCACCCTAGACATCTTGAGGCAAACTGGCATAAAACCAGGGTGCTACACGACAAAAGCTTGCATCGTCAGAGATTACAAGCGCATGCAGAATGCGAGACGCAAGTCAGCGGATGGAACGAAACGGGCCAGGAAGAAAAGAAGAGCTGCCACACGAAAAAAAAGGAGACCATAATGCTATTCGAGAAGGACCCACCGATGAATCTGGTCACGGGAGCGGCCGCGTCAGCAGCACGTGTAAGTGAGCTCTGCACATATCTGTCTATGACTTTAGCAATTTTGGTTCCAAGAGGGTCAGAGTGGTGTCTATTTGTTCGCGAAGATACAAGGAGTTCAACCGCTACAAATACTGCAATTACAAACGAAAATTTTTAATTTTAGGAGCGGAAAACAGTCTGAATCTGTGAAAACAACAACAGTCAGACCACGTGTTTTCAGAGTTATTCCAGAGTTATTCGGCAATCAAAATTAAGCCTAATCACTAAAAAGATTAAATTGGTAATATCACCTCGCAAACGCATTTAAATTTTGTCCACTTAATATAATAATAAACCGCACACCATAGGCTACCAGGAGGCCCAATTCCATACACTCTAGGCCTTTAATTAAGGTGGTAATCAGCAAAAAGCTCATTTCATTAAAACGAATTTTCAAAAGGAGCTACAAACGCCACCGAAAAATAGCTAATATCTTCTTTCAGAACACAAAAGTCCGTTTTTTTCTGTGTAAAAATAATTTTGATAGCTTAAGGTAACCCGAAGATACAGAAGTAGAGAGAATATAACGAAAACCGCTAATAAACGTGTGGCGCCCGCATCTTCCCTCGCTGAGGGGAAAAGGGTGGCTCACTGCTCGGGAGAAAGGTACGCCCGTCAGATCAAAGTCTTGAACCACGTGTTTTTTTTTTTCCCTTACGATCGCTTTTAACTTTGCTAATAACCTACCGGGAAACTTCTAACTCATACAGTGCAAAGCCCTAATTGTAGACCTGTCGCCACTCAGGTTTCATTAGGACAGAATAGTACCGGAACTATTTGGTGACCAAAATTCATCCTAATCACTAAAAAAGATTAATTTGGTAACAACACCTCACAAACGAATTTAAATTTTGTCCGCTTAATATATCAATAAGCAGCACCCCATAGGCTAATCGGAGGCCCAACTCCGTACTCTCTAGACCCTTAATTAAGGGGGTAATCAGCAGAAATCTCATTTCATTAAAACATTTTTATAAAAACAACCACAAACTTGACTGACACACCGCTGAAACCTACATTTAGAACATAACAATCCGGGTGCGGCGATGGCATAGTGGTTAGAGCATCCGCCTCGCATGCAAGAGGTCCGTGGCTCAAGTCCTGGTGCCGCACAGTTCCCAACCGAGAAAAAAAAAAAAAAAAAAAACGCGTGTTGATGGAACTGCATTAAGAGGCCTGAGGTGCGGCCTCAACGGTAACCACAGCCGGGAACGCACTCCCTCACAAGAGAAGGATTGGCCACCCTGGTGCAGTATCTGGCCACTACCTCCCCCATGCATACGTCAAATAACTCACGGCCCTCAGTTCCCAGCAGCTGCGAAGCAACTGACCATGGCGGCGGTCAGATCTGCAACGCAGCAGAGGGTGCTAAAAATCTCTGGACTACACGCCGCCATTGGAACCTGAACTTGGCAACATTTAATGCTAGAACTTTATCTAGTGAGGGAAGTCTAGCTGTACTATTCGAGGAGCTGGAGGGTGTTAAATGGGATATATTAGGGCTCAGTGAGGTTAGGAGGACAGATGAGGCCTATACTGTGCTACAGAATGGGCACGTCCTTTCCCATTGGGGCCTGGCAGACAGAAGAGAACTGGGAGTGGGGTTCCTAATTTACAGAAACATAGCTGGCAGCATAGAGGAATACTATAGCATTAATGAAAGGGTGGTAGGTATTGTAATTAAACTGAATAAAAGATACAAGATGAAGGTAGTACAGGCTTACACGCCTACATCCAGCCATGATGACGCTTCAGTTGAAAGCTTCTATGAAGACGTGGAATCGGCAATGAGTAAGGTAAAAACACAGTATACTATAGTGCTGGGCGACTTTAATGCAAAGGTAGGGAAGAAGCAGGCTGGAAAACAGGCAGTAGGAGATTATGGCATCGGCACTAGAAACGCCAGAGGAGAGCTACTAGTAGAATTCGCAGAACGCAATAATTTGCGGATTTTGAATACCTTCTACAGAAAACGAGAAAACCGCAAGTGGACATGGAGGAGCCCTAATGGCGAAAATAAGAACGAAATAGACTTTATAATGACTGCACACCCAGGAATCGTGCAGGATGTGGAAGTGGTTGGCAAGGTACGATGCAGTGACCATAGAATGGTACGATCTCGAATTTGCCTAGACTTGAAGAAGGAACGACAGAAACTGATACGCAAGAAGCCAATCAATGAAATATCACTGAGAGGGAAAGTACAGGAATTCAGAGTGTCGCTGCAGAACAGGTACTCGGCTCTTAGTGAGGAAACCAACCTTAGCGTAGATACAATGAATGATAATCTAACGAGTATCATTACGGAGTGTGCAGTGGAAGTTGGAGGCAGGGTAGTTAGACAGGACACTGGCAAGCTTTCCCAGGAAACGAAGAACCTAATTAAGAAGCGTCAAAGCATGAAAGTGTCAAGTACAGCAGACAAAATAGAACTGGCAGAGCTTTCAAAGTTGATTAATAGGCGTAAAGTATGCGATGTAAGAAGGTATAACATGGAGAGAATTGAACATGCTCTGAAAAACGGAGGAAGCGTCAAAGCAGTGAAGAGGAAACTTGGGATAGGCAAAACTCGGATGTATGCACTAAGGGACAAAGAAGGCAAAATAGCTACCAATATGGATAGGATAGTTAAAATAGCGGAGGAGTTTTACAGAGATCTGTACAGTAGCCGAGACAACCACGACCTTAATACCATAAGAACTAGCAGTAACCAGGATAACACCCCACCAGTAATAATAGAAAAAGTCAGAAAAGCTTTGGAGAGCATGCAAAGAGGCAAAGCTGCTGGTGAGGATCAGGTAACATCAGATCTGCTGAAAGATGGAGGACAGGTTGTGTTAGAAAAACTAGCCAACCTGTTTACGAGGTGTCTCCTGAAGGGAAGGGTACCGGAGTCTTGGAAGAACGCTAACATCATCTTAATACATAAGAAAGGAGATGACAAGGACTTGAAGAATTACAGGCCGATCAGCTTGCTCTCTGTATTATACAAGCTATTTACAAAGATAATTGCTAACAGAGTAAAGAAAACATTAGAATTCAATCAACCAAAGGAACAAAGCAGGATTTCGAACAGGCTACTCAACAATTGACCACATTCATACTATCAATCAGGTAATAGAGAAATGCTCAGAGTATAACCAACCACTATACATAGACTTCATAGATTACGAGAAGGCGTTAGATTCAGTAGAAATATCAGCCATCATGCAGACACTGCGGAATCAGGGCGTAGATGAAGTACATATAAACATTCTGGAAGAAATCTACAGGGGATCAACTGCTACCATAGTGCTTCATAAAGAAAGCAACAGAATACCAATCAAGAAAGGTGTAAGGCAGGGGGACACAATCTCCCCAATGCTATTTACCACGTGCTTACAGGAGGTTTTCAGAAGCCTAGAATGGGAACAGTTAGGGATAAGAGTTAATGGAGAATACCTTAGTAACCTGCGCTTCGCCGATGATGTTGCATTGCTGAGTAACTCAGGAGACGAATTGCAACTAATGATTACGGAGTTAGACAAGGAGAGCAGAAAGGTGGGTCTTAAAATTAATCTGCAAAAAACGAAACTAATGTACAACAACCTCGGAAAGGAGCAGCGCTTCGAGATAGGTAATAGTGCACTTGAAGTTGTAAAAGACTATGTCTACTTAGGGCAGGTAATAACTGCAGAGCCTAACCACGAGATTGAAGTAACTAGAAGAATAAGAATGGGGTGGAGTACATTCGGCAAGCACTCTCAAATTATG